CTATGTATGCATTTATATGCACATACATATATAACTTACATTACATTCACCAAAACATAGGAATAATTGCAGTACAATTAATTTTTGAAAACCTATCTATAATATTTTGTCTTAAAACAATAATGGATCATATTTTATTTTTACTTACCTTCTCTTAACTGCTAGAAAATTTACAGGATCTCTGTCTGCCCTCTGCAATTTCAACAAGATACTAATAAATTTGTTTTGTTTTGTTACAGAAAGTAGGCAGATAAAGAATTCATTTTGCCTGAGTCTATGATTTTTATGACTTGAAATTATTACTTCACATTGTCTGCTTCCTTTTCTGGTTATAATATGCACAGCAAACCAGATGGCTAATATATAAACAATTTGAGATATTCTTATTTGAATCAGTTAGGATAGCCTAGGAGGTCCTGATACCCAGCACCATCTGTTTATTGCTCTGGGTCTTGCCTTCATGCTGAAGTATTTGTTTTCAGCTTCTTCACATGTCTTAACCTCTGCCTTTCCTGTAGATGTGGAAAGCCTATGCGTCTTGAGGTTCTGTTCTAAAACCCTAATCCCAGACGGCCATACATTTCACTGTTCTTATTCTTTTTTTTTTTTTTTAACATTTTTTTCTTTATTTATTTTAGAGTGAGAGGAAGGGAGAGGGAGAGAGAAATGGAAACATTGATGAGAGAGAATACCGACTGGCCGCCTCCTGCATGCCCCCCACTGGGGATTGGGCCCACAACCTGGGCATGTGCCTTGACTGGGAACCGGCGACCCCTTGGTGCACGGGTCGACTCTCAACCACTGAGCCACTCCGGGCAGGCTTATTTATTCTTATTTTATTTTTCTTATTATCACTATCCTCAACAGTAGTGCTTTAAAACTGCAGAAGAGTAACTAAAAACATGGGCTTTGTTGGAATCTTACTTGGCTATGTATGTAGCTATTTGACCTTGGGCAAGGTCCTTCACCTTGTTTTCCTTTTCTGTGAAATGGACTATAATTCCTACCTCATGGATTTGTAAAATTATTAAATGAGATAAAATATAACTCACTTAGCACCATGCCTGCTATATCATACATTCTAGTCACTATCCTCATTAACATATTTTAGAAAGAGAATTCTCATAGTTATAAAAAGACATAGAAATAAATTCAAATACCATATATAGAATTTCATGCAAGGGTCTTTTGGAAGGAATATCTATTTTTCTTTAAATACCTGATTATTTATGTGAAAGCACACACAACAAAATATATGTAGGTGTTACTACATAACTGGTTTTGGGTTCACTTTCAGTCGTTTTAACTGGACTGAGGGGAAAACTTTCAAACACAAATAGCTGGAGAAAGGTTTCTTTCGGCACCTGTCTGGGTTCTCTTCTGTTGCCCCTGGTTACATGTTATAGTAGACTCTGCTGTGGAACCTCACAGTCACATCTGTCATTGTTTTCTATGTCCAGCTTCCCAGGGAGAGAAACCAGCGACTGATACTTCCCATTTTAACTCCTGTGTCGGATACTACCTGTAATCATCATAATAACCCTGTGGGCTAGCTAATGATTTCTTCTAGTTTTCTGTGTATTACTATTTCTGAATCAAAAATTATCAAACACATTTAAAAATATGAGTGTGCTGTGAAATACAAAGAAGAACATGATCAATGGGAAAGAAGAACATGACTAATCTAGATTGTTCCGAAACATTAGGGCACATGGTTTCTATAGTTGTGGTGTCATACTGTGGTATAGAATAAGATACTTTGTGGAGAATTAATCGGGTGCATTGATCTACAAATCTGCCAATGAGATTCTTCAGTATTTTTCTGAGTGTGTGTGTGTGTACAGCTTCTGTATGATGGAAAAAACTGATGCTGAACAAGGTGCCCAAAGAAACAATACACAGTTCAGTGGGAAGTAACTGTACAGCTGCTTGACCCAGACATCTTATTTCCAATTGCTTTAAAGAAAGTTTTAAAACAAACTTTGGAAGGAATAATGTTTTTTAATACATGTTAGTTAGCAAAGTGTTAAAATTTCAAACTGTTTCATTTGGTCAGTGAATAATAGCCTTATAAAATTAATCATAGTCTTTATCCTTGAATTATCTTCCATGATTTTTACAATACATTTTATAGACTTATACATAATATGTTATAATCATTTAATTCCACATAATTTACAATAATTGTTTTCAAATTAAGGAAGTGCTACATGTAAAATAACAAATTTGTGTTTGCTAATTACATAAAATAGGAACTATTTATTCACATAAGGAAATAATTCTGCACTTTACTGTTTCCCTTTATTTTAGTGCTGCTTAATTACAAACATAATACTGTGTCATAAAAACTGCAACAATGCTTATAAAGTTCAAAGTGGAGCCCTTTCTCCCCTCCTGCTGTTCCCAGTATCAGTGTGACCACTGTTTACACTTCATGTGTGACCTTGCAGACATTTGTGCCCCTGCAGACCCAGAAGCATCTTGTAAAAAGTGATTCTCAGTCTGAGGAATTGGAAAAAAAATTTGGTTTGATGATTTTAGTCATTTTGCTAAAAAGAGTGATTTTCACAAATACTGACAGATTATTTTGTTGTGGGCTAGCTTTCCAGGACTAGTTTGAAAGAATAATATTTTATAATAAGTGTAGAATCAAAGGCATTTATCTAGTGAAATTTTTTGCCTTTGATTTTCTGTGTTTTGCAGTGTCCGCAGATAGTTCATGTATGAAAACAGCAGTATTCAGGGAAGATGGAAAAACGCCCCATATCAACCAATGTAATAAAACTGAGTTAATCCCAAATTGACGATTTAAATCCCTTTAAAATTACTTGTTGCAATCAAGAAATAATCCTTTCAGTCTGTCATTTCTTTTGAGCTTATTAGTAGTGGAATTTCTTAGGGGACTCTTTAAACTGTATGTATGCAAGTTTCTCAAGTTGATACTGAGATTTCCTGTTACTGGGAAAAACTAATACTTTTTTGGTGTTGGATACTGTACATCACAGAGGTATTGGGGGCAGAGGGGGGTATATAAATGGCCAGTTGGTGCCCTTTGGAGCGAATTTCCCCTGTTTCTGTGCCTTTTTCTCTCCCATTTACTTGTCACTAGGAAGAAATATGCACAGAGGTTAGAGATTGAGCATCAGGTTTCCTTCACATAAAAATTTTCTCTCAAATGTAAAGTGAACACTGTGTAAGAAATTATGGTAGTAAATATGTAAGAAAATGTGGATCTTGCCCTGGCTGGTGTTGTTCAGTGGTTAGAGCATCGGCCCATGTACCCAAGGGTCTCTGGTTCGATTCCTGGTCAAGGGCTCATACCTGGGCCGCAGTTTCAATCCCTGGCCCTAGTTGGAGCACATGTGGGAGGCAACCAATCGATGTGTCTCTCAGATCGATGTTTCTTTCTCTCTCTCTCCCCACCTCCTTCCCCCATTCCTTTCTCCCTTCCACTCTCTCTAAAAAACAGTGGAAAAAATATCTTTGAGTGAGGATTAACAAAAAAACAAACAAACAAGAAACAGAACAAAACAAATGAGGATCTCTTCAAATCTTTTGTGAAGCAAAGCAATATAGAATTTGAGTGTATTAAAAAAAACTAAAGGTTTTATTTCAGGTGATAGCTGTGAATGAAAAAAATTAATATTTTCCTAAGAATAATTTAACCATATATCTGTCTTTTTAGATTTTTTTTTTTAACTCTCTGAAAATTCTATTTTTATACTGGCTCTCTAGCCTCATGGGGTCCATAGTCTCTCAGGGAGACAGATACTTGGGCAGCTACAGTGGATTCTACTGAGTCCAGTGCGGAGGGAGCTCAGGGCAGAGGTCCTTCCTTTGTTGGTGGTGGTGCAGGGTTGGGAGGTGTCAAGAAAACTTTCCCAGCAGAAGCAAAACCTAAAGTGAAACCTGAGCCCAGCCGGTGTGGGCTCAGTGGTTGAGCATTGACCCATGTACCAAGAGGTCCTGGTCTGATTCCCCATCAGGGCACATGCCCAGGTTGTGGGCTCCATCCCTGGCAGGGGGCAACTAATCGATATTGATGTTTCTAGCTCTCTGTTTCCCTTTCTCTCTATCTAAAATCAATATAAAACATTTTAAAAAAAGAAAGAAATCTCTCTCTCAACCTTAATACCCCTTTAATCCTCCATAGCTTGGCTGTTATTCTGTTCTTCTATAAAAAATAAATAAATGAAATAAATAAAGTGAAACCTGAGAATGTGCGCACATTAGTCAGCCAAAGAGCAGTGGTCTTGGGGGTCAGTGGCCTGGGACCAAGGGCATCTACAAAAGCCTGGTTATGAGAGAGACCAGGACATAGTCAAATAACTGGTGGAAGTTCAGCTTGGCTGAGTAATTATAAACATTTATTATGAGAGTAATATATGTTAATTGTATATAAAACTCAAAAAATACAGGAAACAAGAGAAAACATACTAATTTCAAGCTGCCAAGAATCCTGTGAACATCTTGTTATGGTTTTGTCATGTCTTATGTCCATATTTGTGGAACAGCTTGTTAATCTGGTTTGGCTTAAATGATAGACACGTATCTAGGCATAAAGTGCATATACATATATGAAAACATTTTTTTAAATGCTTTGATTGATTTTTTTAGTGAGAGAGGAAGGAGAGAGAGATAGAAAGATCGATGTGAGAGAGAAACATCCAGGGCTATCTCCTGCATGCCCCCCACTGGGGATCGAGCCCACAACCTGGGCATGTGCCCTGACTGGGAATCAACCAGGACCACTTAGTCCACGGGAGGATGCTCAATCCACTGAACCACACCAGCTGGTTGAAAACTAATTTTAAGTAAAACTGGGATCATGCCAAACATGCTGTTTGTTACCTGTTTGTTTTTTAACCTGCTTATTTCACATTACAGTAGACTTATTTTAATGCCTTTGGATGTGATTATATTTTAAGTTGAAATGTTTTATTTCTGTGAAAAAAAAAAGATGTCTTCTTGAAGTTAACCATCTGTGATCTTATCTGCAGGAAGAATGCTTCCTGAACCTGGAGGCTCCTATATCAAGAGTGTGTGGGTATGACACTCCATTTCCTCACATCTTTGAGCCATTCTATATCCCGGACAAATGGAAGTGCTATGACGCCCTTCGAAAGATGATCAACTATTGACTGCACAGGTAAGTCTGCTCTGCACTTTGAGAAAGCTAGAGTGTGTCCCTGACAAAAAGTTCTGTTACCCAAGGTCATCCGTGTGTTGTATTTTGGTAAGTGGCAAGTTCCAGAACAAAAGTGGATTTCAGAAAAAATTAAATTCATAATATATTTGCATTTAATAGAAATGTAGTAAGCATGTGTATTATCTAATTTCTCTAAAACAGATGCATGCATGTGTTAACATTGAATAATCACTAGATGAGGATGTTCTCTGCTGTGGTTTAACTGCATATACATCCTACCCTGTTGTTCCAACTGTTACCCTCATTTCTGTATATTTTTATCAGTTATTTAAACTCTTCACCAATAGGGGTAATTTCTGTTGTTTAAAAATGGCTCTTCAAACACCATTAAATGCTCCTTCTGCAGTGTTAGTCTAGCAGCAGTGAACACCATTAAACACTGCTTAGTTTTTAGGATTTTAATACTATAGAAGTTGCTATCACTGACACACTGATTTATTTTACCTTTGATATTTTTGAAATGATTCAAAATGCATAGATAGGAATTAAATGCTATAACAATATAGCCCATGCTTTTTACAGATAAGAAATACTATATTCCTATATCCTATGAATGGGTAGTAAAGCTAGCTCATCTAAAACCAGAGAAAGACAGAGGCCTTTAAATTTGTGCATACAGAGAAAATAATGCCCCCCCTCCCCCTGTCTTCTGATCTCCACACCAGAGTTTTTATGGTTCTGTTCTGTAAGGTTAGGGCCATGAGTCCACATTTCCCTGGTATTCTCTCATACAGGCAGAGGTAGATGATTTATTTCTGATGTCCTCTAATGTCTCTGAAAGCAACTGGCTTCTACAGCAAGTCATACTGAGGACCGGTTAGGGGACTTCCTCATTTGGTTGTTCATCCGGTTCCCTTCCATGGACCATCATAATGGAGAGTCAGGGTAACAACATGTGGCCATATGCCTTGTTGCTATTTTGAAAGCAATATTTAGATGCTGGTTTTAAATTTGGATATGTATTTCCTTTAAAACAACAACAAATTAGCTTATTATGAAAATAGGATAAAAGATGCAATGTTTTCTATACTAAAAGTTAAATATGGCATTAAAGAAAGTAGTGATGCAATTAAGAAAAATCTATATTTAATTCTCAGTGGCCAGAATGTGTATAATTCTTATTGATTTCTTTTACAGAAAAACTGGAAGATTATGACTAGATACGGAAATATTTTTCTGAAATTTTAAATATTTTCTCAGATTTATCTCATCTTGAAAATAGAATTTTTACAAAATGAAGCATGATGGATATGGTTGAAAAATTATAAATTAGTTATTGTATTAACACACATGAATTGATTTCTATTAAGAGTGTTTCAGAGTAACTTTTTAAAATGTTCCATGTGCTAGTCTTATACATTCTGCTGATTACATCTGTAAATACTGGGTGTGGAATAGTATTCAATAAAGCAAAATCAGATTGGTCTTCAAGTTTTGTGTCTTTTTTTTCATTAGTGAAAAGAATTTTGTTGCAGATGAAGAGAACCAAAATTCTGCCAACCTGAAGTTGCTCTTCGAGATATTGATTTTAAGCTGTTTATTCAGAAAGAATTCTTGCCCAGACAGAGCGGCTCAGTTGGCTGAGGGTCATCTGTGCACTGAAAGGTCGCAGTTTCGATTCCAGGTCATGTCATATACCTGGGTTGTGCTTTTGATCCCCGGTCGGGGCACATCCCCGGTCAGGGCACACACGGAAGGGAACCAATTGATGTTTCTCTCTCCCATCAGTTGTTTTTCTCTTTCTCTCTTCCTTCCCCTCAGGTGAGGTTAAAAAAAAGAAAGAAAGAAAAGAAACAAGATTCAGAGGGAGCCTTTGACCTTCCCAAACCCCCTTCCTCTTGCCTTAGCCTCATTTGAATGAATATGGTAAACTAGAGACTAGAGGGCTTCAGGCAGGGGTCTGTTGGCTAGACCCCCCTGTGGCCCATTGCTTCTGATCGGCCAGCAAGGGTTTTCCTGCCCTGTGTGTTCTGCTCCTTCTCAATTACCTGCAAATCGCTATTCTCACTTCTGAGATCTAAGACCCAGTCCCCCACTTTCTGCCTTTGTCCAAAAATGTCGTATATACACAATGTTGCCTCACTGTCTGGAATTTTCATGGGATCTTCATGCCTACGTGCATTTCCCATGCACGTGCATTAAACTTTGATTTTCTCCTGTTAATCCGTTTCTGTTCATTTGATTATTAGCTCAGACAGAAGAACTTAGAAAGTGGGAGGAAAAGTATTAGTATTTTTTAGCCCCATACAGACTAATTGTTAACCTATTAAATCTGAGTAAAATAAAATGTTTAGAAATGCTGAATTTTTGTTACTGTATTTGGTTTAGTTTTTGTGGCTGTGTATTGACAAACCTTCTGGGGTGTTTTTCCTCATTCTTCCCTCTTTCCTCAACAAGGTACTGATGGGCATGCTCACTCTTTCCCTGAGCGTGGTGGCAGGATCATCCTTGCTGCCTCTGTTCGTGGACAGCACCAGCCTGTCTAGTTATAAAGGTGCCAAGCGTTTGCTGTAGTTGTGTTTTTTTGCCATGATGTTACAAAGCAAATATTTTTTCCATCTTCTTTATATTAGTATGTAGCTAAAAAGAAAAACATTAGCATCAACAAAAGGCTCAAACAGGAGGAAGCCTCTTTATTGTGGACATTGCCAGGGCCTCTTGTTTCTTACTTAGCCTCTTCTGCCCTTCAACATAGTTTTATATCGGCCCCAACTGCCAAGGAGTTTCTCTGCAGAACCCCTCAGCCCTGGTCCTGCCCTGGAGGTGCTGCTAGGTCGCCTCCACTCCCATGGGTCCAGAAGAGTTTCTTCTCGCGGGATCCAGCAGAAAGCCCTCCCCCACCACCAAATCAGAGAGAGTATTTTTCTTTCTCTATGAACACTGAAAAAAGTGGACATTTTCTTAGGATTACAAATATATATGGTACATTAAAGCTGCCATTTAAAATGGGTGTCTTGTTTATTTTTGTCAGATATTTGGAGGAGGATACAGAAAGTAACATTTGTCAATTGTCAGGAATTTGGAGCTAAAGGAAAGGCACAAAATCACAGGTTCCATATAGCAGTGGGCTGAAATAAAGAACCAAAGCTTTTGTTTGGGGTAAAAATACAGCCCTGTCCTGGGTGAAAACATAGACACCTGTACGGTGCAGGATGGGAAAGATGTCCTTGTCAGCAACACGCTGGGAAAAGATTTAGGGAATCCAGTTGGCTGGCCATCCGGGACTTGCTGAATTTAAAATGCCAGAACTCAGCATCGACTTTGGCTGTGGTGTTCCTTCCCCCTGAAGTCTCGGGCACTGCAAGCGAGTGTCAGTCCAGCAGAGCAGGACGCGTGGCAGCCAGCCACGCTGGCCTAGTGAGTTCTATTTGAACGTGTTTGTTTTACTTTATTGTTTTTAGTTGCTATTATTTATGATTTTACTTGAAGTTACTCATTTTAAGTTATATTGCAGGGGGGGGGTGGGGAGAAAGAGAGAGAGATCCATTGGTTGCCTCCCACAAGACCCCAACTGGGGCCAGGGATTGAACTTGCCACCCAGATATGTGCCCTTGACTGACAATTGAACCCAAGACCCTTTGGTCCTCAGGCTGACACTATGATCGCAGAGCCAAACCAGCCAGGGCTGCTGTGGGTAACTTTTAATATTATTTTTTCTACTCATTTGCTATTGTAAAATCTTCGCATAGTTATTTTAATGTTATTTTAACTTTGTTTTTGAAATAGTAAGCAGAAGGACAACTGTGGGGCAATCTATACAGTAACTGTCTGGCTTTGAAAGCATTTCCCCTCCAGTTAGCCCTGCAGTCCCACCAGTAATTACCCTTCCTTCCAAAATAAGTGGCTTTTGGTTAATACTGAGCTCAGTCGGTAGCACAAGATGTACATATACACCAGATTAACTGTGTTAAACACATTTATTTAATTGAAACAAATGTTCCATATTGTGAAAATAAGAAAATGGTGATGAGAAGACACATGAAAGATGTTAAATGAATGCCTCAGCTGTGTAGTGGGTCTGCTCCCTGTGGCAACGTGAGTATACATGTGAACATAATCTTCTGTAGCTCAAGTTATCCAATTTTGTTTGGAAAAATATAACATCCATGTTCTGTTAAACTGATAGGTATTATCCAAGCTGAATGAACAGACCTGTGTACAAAACGAAATGAGAGGCTCAAGGTCCAGAAATGACCTCAATTCAATCCCTTAGGTTTAAATCACATAATCTACAAACTCTTGGTGAGAATCCCATAGACATTCCATTCGGTTTAGTGAAATCCCTTTCCCATCAGCTTGCCTGTGGTGGACATGTGTGGTTTCTGGCTGCTTGGCATCCCTGCCCCCACCTTCTAGTAACAGCACTGCCCGTTTGTTCAGAGAACCCCCTCTCCCCACCGCATGTGGCTCTGGAGGGGCTGCCAATCCCCAGACCCCCCAGCACTAGCCACAGAGATGGCCCTGGCCCAGGCCCAGTCAGGACCACAGATTGGTCAGTCAGGTTGCCGGTGCAGAAGCAGGAAGTAGCCTCAGCCTTGTCAATGACACTGAACTCTGAAAGACTGATTCCCAAACTGTTACCTGTCCCAAGTACACCTGAGAATACAACTAATAGGTGTTAACCAGCAGATCACAAAGCATTACCTTTAACAGAAACTCTTTGAGGTCAGGAACATGACCCCAAAGCTGACATGTCAGACTTTCCAGAGAGACATGAGGTTTGGAGACTGATATGCTTCCTTAGCCCATCTAGTTTGGAAAGAAATAGAAAATATTCATATGTGGGCAAAGATTTGGAAACTCTGATATCTGATATCTCTCTGAATATGGGAATTAAGGATATTTGCCTGGAAAATGAGAAATAAAATTAGAACAAGGATAGGAAATCATAGCTGGAAAGGACCAGAGGTAAGAATGGAAACAAATAAAAAGATACATCTAAATAATTGTCTTAAATATACTTTTTTTTTAAATGTAACACATGTTTCACATTTGACAAAGGAATATATTAGTTAATTTTTTTAATGTTGTAAATGCATAATAGTAAAATGTAAGCAAAGTGTATAAATACAGAAAATATGGACAGAACAGTTGTATAAGGCTTTGTCCCGTCTTTCAACTTGACAGATGAAGTGGACATTCATGAGCAATAGTGTTAGCTCAATAGAAGTGTATGTTAAACTTTGTGCCTCCATAATCATAGAATTCTCACCTTTTAAAGTATGCATGAATAGTTTAAAAAATGATCATATACTAAGGCACACACACACACAAATAACAGTAAATTCCTCAGAGTATTAAAAGGCATCATGTTTTATGACCACATCCCAAATTAATGACAAGTATTCCAACTACTTAGAAGCCAAAAAGCACCCAGCTTAGTAACTGTAGAACCATGGAGGAAATGTAAAACAATTTACAGAATATTTAGAACATAAGATCACTGATGGGCTTCTGCTAGGATTTTACGCAGAGATAAATGCATAGACTTTGACTTTAAATCTTGTAAAAAGTAAAACTGAAAATACAAGATTGTGAGAATGAAGAGGCGGAAGCACAAGAAGAAAGAAAAAATAATAAAGTTAAGAGCAGAAAGTTCCAAATGAGAAAAACCTGTAAGGTCAATTTTTTTTTTTTTTTTTTAATAAAAATGAAAACTTACCTTTTATTTTATAATATCTGTGTCCTGTGAGGATGGAGCTGTATGTAATCATGATACCAGCAAATAAAGGCCCCGTGATGGCTGGGTCTGCATTGGCCAATACCTAATCCTTTGAGGGGAGGAATAATCTAGTAAAACCTAATAATTTACCAGAAGTATTGATAAGCAGAGTTCTTTGTTATTAGGACATTTTATTCCATTATTTTAAGAAAATAATTATCAAGGTCTTGTTTTGCTAAAAATCCTTCATTTTCTTGCTGAGGCTTGGCTACTCTGAGTATTTTATTTACTATGAATTTTCATAAGATGTGGTGACTATAAAGAATTACAGTAGTGATTTTTTAAATGTTATTTCAATCACTTGGATCATCTACCTACTTATTATCTTGACGTTGTTTTTCTTTCACCCACAGTGTTTTAGTGATTCCACAGAGGCAGGGGCTGGTCTGCCTGCTATGAATTCTGCAGAGCCCGGAGTAGTGCCTGGTGTGCCGACGCTCTCTGTGCGCTGCTGAGCAAACAGGTGACAGGAAATGCAGGCCTGAGCTTGAATGCAGCTTTGCAGCCCATTTTGCAGATGTGAAGAGTACTATTCTAATAGTAGTTGATATCAGCAACAGAAGCAGTCCTTTATGTAGGTCTAGACTCCAAGGGTTCCCAAGAGATGAACATTGTTTCTGTGTTTTTTGTTTTTTTTTATCCTCACCCGAAGACATTTTTCCATTTTTTGTTCAGATAGAGTGGGACGGAGAGAGAGAGAAACA